CTGAGGTGTTATCGCTGGTGATGTTTGAAGACAATTGTGACAATGATTCTTGAAATCGCATTTGTGGACGAAAGAGGTTTTAGGGTCATTGTGTTAAAATGGTGATATTCTTTGAACGGATTGAGCAATTTCAGTAATTTTTGCATCTAAAAGTAGCTTATGAAATTGGCTTTCCATTTATTATTATGTTTGGTACTACATATTTTTTTAAATATGAAATAAAGTTTTGGGGGTTTGTATTCAGTTTATCGATGCTGATGGCATATTTAGGCATTAGTTCACCTGTTAGTATCGACGAGTCATTCTTAATGTTAGCTGCGGCCCTGTATTACCGATTGCGTATATACGTGTGAATAATGTATATAATTAAGTCGTCATGCTATAGTCTTCGCGATCCCCATGCTTCCATGCGTTTCATGAGTGAATTTTGCTCAGAATATTAACTAGACTGGCGTCAGAGATCCAGACGCCATATTACAGGGTCGTCAAAAACGAGTGCAATAGTTCATCTTTCGACGTATAATAATTGTGTGTGACTCCTAACTGTCTCAAACGTTAATTGCAATATTTGGGATAATTTAGTTTTGTGCGACTTTGGGACGCCTGAACCTGGGGAGGGAGGGGGGAGGCACTTGCCCCCCCCCCCGGAAATGGGGGTTACAGAAAAAGAAAATGGGAAAAGGGGAAGACAACTGCCAATTTTCATTAAAAATGCATCAGAATTATTGACCCCTCCCCTGCCGATGGTTCGTCACTTTGCACCTTTGAGTGCTCCCCCTCCCCCCTCTGGAAAGCGCTTTGCCTCCCTCTTGAAAAAAATTCCGGCGACGCCCATGCAGTTGGTTTTGCATGTATAAAGCAAGGCACGGGCATCAAAGCATGCTGGCGGCAGACCCGTCGTGCATTATGATATCTGAAGATTATTAGCCTACAGACCAGTAAACACTTATCGCTAAGAGAAGGGGTTTGCCCCGGTGTTTCTGGCCTCCTGTATAAACTCCCACGTGGAGTATTTAGGAGAAGAACCAACCAAGAACCAAGAACCAAGACTATGTGCTCTGTGACGTCATGCCAAAGGGCATCCAGTGGGCAACCCAAACATTTAGTATCTTTTGCATGTTCTTTGGCCACAACGTATTATGTCAACACTTTTAAACCATTTATATTTCAAGAGATGCACAAAGTCATGCAGTGCAGAAGAGAACCATTTGCTGACAAAAAAATTGTTAATGTCACATGCTCTACATGTACTGTATACGCTTCAAAACATCTAAACTCATAGACCGAACACAGACCAAGCTCGATTACCCAGGTAAACATTGAACACAGAACAACTTGATTACAAAATGGTAAAAAAAAAAAAAAAACCAGAAGACGACAACGCATTGACTGACAAACCGACCGACCGCAAATATGAAGGTTTAGACCGCTGGTCCGTAATGCATACGCATTTAATAGTCTTTGCCTCTGGGGAACAGTCTATTCTTTAAATTGCTTCGCTGTAATTGCCTTTCTGATTTCCGCGGTGGTAGCTTTCGACACTCACATCCGATGGCACATGTCGTAGTTCGTGCAACATAGTGAGAGGGGCGGCGAGACGAGGGGGAGGGGTGAGCGAAGCGGAGAGGGGGGATGGGAGTGAGGGTATTATGTCATGAAGCAATGTTTCTCGTGGACAGCCACAAGTTTACGATTTTTGTTTGCCAAACTGATTTTTTTTTACACACTCCACGATAGTATATATTAGTTTTCCGTTTCGTAATTTCCCAGTATTTCGTTATATCCGAACCTTCTGTTTTGAAATGCGAATGTGCATCATGATAGGCACTATTCCTTATAATGCTGCTTTCTGTGCCAATCCGGTTCGTTAATGTGACGTCAGTTCAGTTTAAACCACGCCCACTTACCATTAAGTAGCATTGGAACCATTGGAACCGGAAGCTGACGCAACTTGAGTGTTAATCCAATGAGCGCTAGTAATCAGTGGTGCGCGTGTATGACGTTTTTACTAACGAACCGGATAAAGCAGTAATGCTGTTTCGACGTGCAGCGAGTATACGAATGTTATGTAGCCTGGAAACCAGAGGTTATGAAAGTGATGACTGATGAGTGGTTATCATCATGCTATCAGACAGGTATAGCTTGATACAAGGCCAATTTATTAAACTTAACAGCAACGATGCTGCCACCGCTGCTGCATGCATGAGAGTGGATAAAACATGAGATATCATGGGAAACGATGTTTGTCAGTAAGTAAATGGAACCTTCTCGAAGCCGGGTCGCGATACTATCATAAGATGGATGGGTGTATCGAGTTCAAAGGAAGGATCAATCAGAGCGGAAAAAATGGGATTTGTTACAATCAGGAAATCTCTTAATGTCAGGGTAAATTTGCGAAAGAAAATGGGCGCGTAAAATGGATTTGAAGTTTAAATGTCAGGGCCTCTAATGGGCACAGAGAGTTTGGAACATGAACGACAAATGGTATTTGCCAAGGGATGTTTATGAGGCTTTGGGCTTTAATTGGATATTGAGAAGCTCGATGTCGGACAGCACAAGTACGTATTCTGTTCGGTGTTAATTGCCACCTCCTGCTAACATCGTGGATCAGTGCGGAGTAAAGGCAAGCGCGGTTCTACGCCCCCCCCCCACCCTAAAAAAAAAAATAATAAACAAAATCCATAAACAAAATGGAAGTAGCCAATTGTAGAAGTTGACGCCACATGCGAATTGTCTGACCCCCCCCCCCAAAAAAAAATAGTCGTGAGAAGAGGGCATTACACTATTAGGTAATATAGTGTGCATGATTGTAGGATTTTATCAGCGCTCCCCGTTGAAAATGTGGTACGAGCCCCCCCCCCCCCCACCCCCCACCTATTGATTTTCGGAGACCTAAATGTCCGGAGCAAAAAAGGTCTACATTTCAGCACGACTCCCTGCAAAAGTTTATGGATCCACCCCTTCTATAGCCCCCCCCCCCCCAAAAAAAAAATAGGGGCTCTAAAACCGCGCCTGGTAAAAGGACAGAGTACAAGCTACTGAATAACTCGTACTGATATTTAACCCAGCTGTCATGCCACTTGTACTTCACTTCTCTGCAGGGGGTTTACGATCCGTATACTTGGCTTATACTCTTGATCACGATCCGTACTCGGCCCAACATTTTGATCACATAGTATTTTGACTCGAGTCTTGATCTACTTTTGTCATTTAAGTGCTTCCGCTCCGTACCCGACCCGTACCGCCGATTCTTAGCCTACTTTTGATGCGAACTTGACCCGTACCAAACTCGTACTGACCGCGTACTAACCCGTACTGCGGATAACGATCAGCATACTCGGCCCAACGTTGGATCACATATTTTGACTAACACTTGATCCACTTTTGCTTCCGCTCCGTACCCGCGGCATTTTGTCTGTACCCGTATTACCGCCGATCTTAAGCCTACTTTTGATACAAAGGCTTGACCCGTACCAAACTCGTACTGACCGTACTGAACCGTACTGCGGATAAATGATCAGTATACTCGGCCCAACGTTTGATCACATATTTTGACTAATACTTGATCCACTTTTGCTTCCGCTCCGTACCCGCGGCATTTTGTCTGTTTACCCGTATTACCGCCGATCTTAAGCCTACTTTTGATACAAAGGCTTGACCCGTACCAAACTCGTACTGACCGTACTGAACCGTACTGCGGATAACGATCAGTATACTCGGCCCAACGTTTGATCACATATTTTGACTAATACTTGATCCACGTTTGCTTCCGCTCCGTACCCGCGGCATTGTCTGTACCCGTACCGCCGATCTTAAGCCTACTTTTGATACAAACTTGACCTGTACCAAGCTCGTACTGACCGTACTGAACCGTACTCCGGATAACGATCAGCATACTCGGCCCAACGTCAGTGATCACATATTTGGACTAATACTTGATCCACATTTGCTTCCGCCTCGTACCCGCGGCATTGTCTGTACCCGTACCGCCGATCTTAAGCCTACTTTTGATACAAAGGCTTGACCCGTACCAAACTCGTACTGACCGTACTGAACCGTACTGCGGATAACGATCAGCATACTCGGCCCAACGTCAGTGATCACATATTTGGACTAATACTTGATCCACTTTTGCTTCCGCTCCGTACCCGCGGCATTGTCTGTACCCGTACCGCCGATCTTAAGCCTACTTTTGATACAAACTTGACCCGTACCAAACTCGTACTGACCGTACTGAACCGTACTGCGGATTGCGATGGTCATACTTCAATCACAATTACTGCATTTTGTCCTTGTCCAAGACAGCTAAACACAGCGAGTCCGGCAGACAAATTATGCTGGTAGGCCTACGTGAACTTATCTCCGTAAATAGTCTACGTTTGATGTATAGGCCCCCAATTAAGCTCTTTTAGAGATCAAAAGTTGAACAATTAAGGGAAGTTCCCAGTGGAAAAAACTGTGAGGTTTCCCCAGAAAGAGTGAGTATATCATTCTGTGTCAAGTACGCATTATGGTATAAATAGTCCCTATGGATCGCATTCTGCGCATGGGACGCACTTTCAATGAAATCCCCGGCCCCCCCCCCCCCAAATCCCCACGTGACCACCAAGATGGTGGTACAATGTAATCTGTGAAACGGTCAATGATGCAGAGACGTTTCGTAATTCCGTGTTATTGCTTTACCTGAAAAGCTGACCGTGCATTATTAGTACACACTGAAAAATTGCCTGGGGTAATTTTACCCAAGAAAGGGTGAAAACTGCAACTACATTATATATGGAGATCAATGGTCCCAACTCACGGCGCGCGTAAACTGTCTTAAATATTTATGAAGAGAAGATAGTTATAAGGATATTGACCTTCAAGACTTATGTTTTACTCGCGAGACTGACTATCACCGACAACCACGAATGGTGATGTGTACGAGTAAATATGCTCTGTGTCTTTCGGAAACTCATGAAAAGACATCCGAAATGAGCCAATCGCTAAAAAGCTATATCTAGGTGGTTTGTTCAATACAAAAGTTTATTGTTAAAATGAGTACAGATACTAAACAAAGTTAATCATCATTTTCAATGGTTAGGTTAAATATTTCTATATAAATAAATTATGATAAAAAATGTATTCGGCTCTTCGATAATAATCACTGTATTTACATTATCGAGCCATTTCAGAGGCCAGTCTGTTCAGGAGCATACGGTATTACGACTGAAAACAAAACTAACAATCCAACTAAAACGAATATTATAACGAACAATTGAGAATAAAACTTTTTTTTCGAAAATACAATAATTACTAAAAAGGTACAGCAATTTTAATAACAGATAGACCAAAGTTACACACAAAAGTCATGTACCGTACTTAAACAAACTAAGGTACAATAAAATGATCAACAAAAACACATGTATTAAAATGTATACTTTAAAAACAAAAAATAAGGGAAATTTAGTACGAACGAAGGTAATAAAACACATGGAAAATTAACCACAAAGAATATTGTGACATGCAATTGTGACAAACGGTGAATTAAAAATATGAAAACTAGAAAATTATAAAATATAATACATATCATATTCACACAAACAAGGTATTTATGGCGAAAACAACTATTGTGACATGCAATCGAACGTTGAATTAAAAGTATGAAAACAAGAAAAATATAAAATATACTATAAATTATATTCAACACAAACATGGTATTTATGGCGAAAAAAAAAACCTCCTGAGATGGCCGCTGAAATTTGCGAGGTAGCCCACTTCGCAATTCAATGGGCAGAGGAAACACTGCTGTAGCAATTATTAAAATAATATCGTCTTTCAAAATAACGCTTACTGTTTTACTTCGAACGGCCATGCAAAATATCTCCAAAAACCGTGGAGATCATAAAACGTTGACTATCTGGAATCCAAACCTTATACATACGTAAGTAAAAATCTACAAGAGAGACATCAATCTCATGAGATGCTTAAAAACAATCACTTTGTTGAAATAAAAGAACAATTCTCTGTGGGGGATAAAAGCTCAAGAGCGGGAATTGCCGTTCCTCTCGGTGATCCTCTTAAACCGGGGCTTTTTGTGAGTTCTGCTGGTAACGATTTACAGACTGAAAATGTCACAAAATCGACTGTTAAATGTCGCGAAGGCTTTTGAAGATTATCTGGGATAGGCCTATAGACCTACATGCATATGTCTATCTTAGATATGCCCCAGATGGACTTGTCTGGTATACAATATTTAAAAGCTGGTTCGTATACTCCACGCGAAAAGGCTTATGTCCATTTTTGATGGGCCCCAAATGGACAATCTGTCAGGTATACAATATATAAAAGCCGGTTTATGATCACACGCTAAAGCGAAAGCGAAGTGCATTTTATGACGTCAACAACTGAAGATTAATTGTAACGTTCGCAGCTATCTTGACGAATTCGCTTCGCACCGATAATCGCATGAAGTATGAGCCGGCATTAAGTCTGTTATACTGTCTTCCATAACTCCATTATTTCCCCCTCTTTCTTGATCCACTTCTAGTCCCTAGTATGAACTACCAAAAGGCTAACAAAACCCTTTCAGTCAAGTTACATTATAATAGGGTTCAAAATCGCAAAGTGCTATACTCTTCATACCGGGATAATGGCAGGAATGCAATGTCCTCTCCCTAAAGTTAGACATTTTTAACCTCATTTTTAACAGTAGACCATGTGATGACAGTCATTATTTTACTCGCTTTATGTATTATGATCTATCCGGGAGCGTTTACAGGTAAACAACTATTTCTGACAGTATACGGAGCTACTTTCAGGTAAAATTATTTTATTAGAAAAAGGCTTTACTATTATTTGACAGATAAAGGATTGACGCATAAAAAAACATACAAGTACACTATAATTCCGTCAATGAGTTTAACCACCATTAATTGCACACATTTTGTTGACTTTGTCACGTTGGACCAAATAAACAGTCGAAACTCGACTCCTCCTCCTCGTCCGATTGTCCGGAATGTTCTTCATCAAGAAAGCACGTGGTGCTCTTAGCCCCGCCTACCTTGACCTCATTTGCATGGGAAGGGCGTGACATGTCTTCGTGAGCTTTGGTCTTTTTGGCTTTCGGTTGCTGCTTTCTACTTGGGGCAGTCTCCGGGAACATGTCACGGAGAAATTCGCGTGAACGAATATCGGCCTACAGACGTAGGAAAAATTGATACAAAATATCTACTTTTTTTTTTAAATATCAATATACCAGGATGATTCTTAAGACAACAGTTTGGTTCAACTTAAGTAACAAGCTCGATCGGATCTCGGAAGCTGCGGGCCAAAGAATTGTCCATGCATGAGTCGAGTGATTGTGCCATGTAATTTCTATTCTGGAAGGAGTAGTGTTTTGAGTAAAAAAAAAAAAAAGGTTTTCGATGACCGTTGACCCCAGTTTGGTCATGTGACATGTTGGGGCTGGGCTACAGATACTTTGACAAGGTTTGGTTGAAATCGGTCAAAATATGTAGGAGCAATAGACAATGCCAGCGTTTGTTACTAACTAACTAACTAACTAAGTAACTAACTAACTAACTATCTAACTAACTAACTAACTAACTAACTCCCCAACTAACTCCCGGGGAGACATGATGATTTGTTGAGCTGCTTCCCGAAGCTAAAAAAAACTGCTGTCTGATGTTAGTGAAGGAAAACAATGGTTTCTCCACCCCAGGGGGCCTTGTGCGTGCACAGTGATCACGTGCCGGGACTCGTCTAAAGTTTCCAATTTAATACTGCATCTTAATTGGGCGCTATTGCGAAGCCAACATTACAGATAAAAAAACAAGTTATATATTTGGCATTGACCATACATAGAGTAATAATGTTTTTCAATACATTTTGTATTAGCTTTGTGTTTTGCCACATAACCACAAGGAGAAACTCGAATAGGAGAATGCTCTATAGGGATCATCATTTTTCCTAATTAAAAAAAGGCCCTCAAATTTTGTAGTTATTTTTTCCCAACAATAATGACACGATGAGAGAATACTTTCATGTCATGAGTATCTTTTAAACTGGTACATACAATCACTGCAATAGTTGATGAAATGCTGATGGTATTTTTGGTATCTGATGGTTAGATAACAGTGTTTACATGGTTTATATAATGAAATCGGTTGATCAAGGCAATAAATGATTACTAGAGCCCCTTACTATTTTATATCCCTTTGTATAGTTGACCTCATAGTCACCCTATATTTATTTAATATCTTCCTGAATTACCCCATATCTCATGCTTCCGGAACGATTCCTGACAACTGAGCAGGGAAATATCCATCAATTAGTTTACAATTTCATCAGATAATATGCTCCACTGCGCATGCAGCAGTTCATGTTGAAGATTTTATCACGTCTGGACGGTAAGGCCTACCGATGAATTTCCCTCTGGGTTTAGGCAACAGATGATGCGAATAAGTGTATTGCCTATCACAATGCAACATGGCCGAGTTGTGGCTTTCTGATGCCATCAAGTCTCTATACTATATTTTTTTGTCTACAAGGAACTGAATCAAAATGGGGGAAAAGAGAGAAAAACAACCTCAGCTTTGTTTAGATGTATATATTGTATTAGCCTGTTCAAAACTGAACCCAAAACACTTCCTTTTTAGGAAGACATATTTGGCGATGTGTAATATGCTTTTAACCCCATCTGGGTTTTTGTTTTTTTAAAGTCATCTTTAATGAGGGTAAACTCCGATCAGTGCAAGGCACTGCTTTCCATGGAGGCCCTCAAGTTAAATGAGAACTATGAGACCCATTATGTAGCACCTTTATAAGTATTTACACGGTGCTAATCTAAGCAGTAGTTATTACCACATGGTGTTACAGCAAACCGAAACGCTTTTATGTTACATTCGGTTGGGTTGTGTCACGTTCAGCAGGCAACGAATATTAAGGCACGGTTGGATTAGGCAGGTAAGTCCTTTTGTATTGTAAGGTACCTAGCAAAATGACCCGTTGGACTGCGTTGGCTTGAGCAGCCTGGAAACTGCCATGATTAACTGTCAGATTCTGTTGGATTCAGCAGGGTAGCCCTGGGGAACTATTAGGGGGGTATTAAACATCTGCACATTCTTCTACTGCGTCTGGCCGAACAGACCACATGAAATAGGGAGTTATAAGGCGCAAAACCACTTCATGAAGTTAGGCTGTTGCACTCACCTTTTCAAAGAGGTCCAAGATTTCAGTATTTATATGAACTTGCCAATGGAATACCTGCTTGGGATTTTATCAAGTTCCAAGATGAGAGACGTGCTGGATTTGAGGTATTAAAAGTTAAAATTGGCATTTTACAATCGAATTGAACACTATTATAAAGGGATGAACTGATGCATTTTTTTGTTTCGTTTACCTGTCTGACCGGCTCGGTAACTCTATACTTGCAGCATCGCCTGGCGAGCTCCGTGGCTGTTTGCAGAGAGACTCGGTGCCCAACGGACACAAATATCGGGTTGCTTGACTTGTCACATCCCCTCATGGCCTACAGAAGGGAGCAGAGAGACATGATCAAATCCGACAATTTACTATCGACCATGCAATTCAATCACAAGCAAATCTCTTGGCAACGTGGTTGCTGCGATAAAAAAATACTGTTGGCGGTGATCAACATCTCATCAAAAGTAATGCCGCTTTGATGGACTGGCGATTTGGGAGATATCGGGTGAGTAGTTTGAAAGTGCCAGGAGAGTTTTATGTAGGAGCAAAACAGGAGGTGTTTTTATTTCATGCAGGAATGTTTGATTTTGAGCGCTATTTTGCATCATGTTTTTCAAGACTCACAACAAAAGGCATTCAAAATTAAAGCAGAATAGTGAAATAATAACAGTTGCAGTCTCATGATTGTTGAACGCAGTATACTTTTTGAGGAAACAGGGCAATCAAGATGCAGTTCAAGGCTCAATTACATATTTTTACGTACATGTACAGTTTTATCAGCTCCCAGTTTATTATGATAAATAAAAAGGTGACCTAGACTTAAAAAACAAACAACATGTTGTCAAAGTTAAGATAGCTCAGGTTTTGTCTCTGGCGGTGTCAGTAACTGAAACATCTCTTTTATTTTTTTTTTGGTACCAATGACAACATGCCATGGTAAAATTTCAGTGTGTGTTTGACTTCTGGTATTTTGTAGCCTTTCCTTATGCTCATTTTCAGTCCACTTTGTGTCCACTGTGTAGTTAGGCCTACTGTTTACGATAGGCCTACGTATGCAACTGGGGAAAAAACAGTAAAGGTGCCTTTAGTTAGATTTCAGAGGGGGTCTCTCAATAATTCCAAATGTTCCTTCGAGCTAAAGACCCTTGCTTCACAGAGTAATACTTCAAGCATCTGTGCAATTCAGTGAAGGGAATCTGGGACAAATCCAGGGAAAGTGGAACTTCATTTTGGGCTTGAAGGAAATCCAAATAGATAAAGGTCGGTACGCCTAATGTTTGAGTCATGTTGACGGGCTGCTGGCCACTGACTTCAATGTTCACTATCGTCGTTCGTTTGATGATCACAGCGCACTTGTAGATTCTTCCACCAGTCAATAGTGTCTGCATATACAAGCCATTCTTCCCTTAAGGCCTTTGTGGAGACAACATCGAGAGATCAGGTGCTCTACGGTCTGAATGCGATCACATTCACAGAGGGCTGACTCTTCTGCTCCGTTTTGACCAGTCCTCCACCAGCAACTAGTGAAGCCTGTTGAGTTTGACCCAGGGGGAACAGTGACCAAAGACAGTGGCCCTGCTAAGGAAGTTATGAGGTGTTGAACGCGTCTTAAGTTTGATGAGATCGATCCTATAGGACGAGTCGCGAGTTAAGACAAGTTTACCTCCCTAAGATTCGTCTTAGCGTTCCATGAAATCGACCACAGGCCCTATTTTAGTTTCCTTATGTTATGGTTGCACTCTTTCTTTATTTTTGACTTTCACAGTGACCTTTATAGTTGTCTCATCTTTGCATTGTGTTGACAGATATCTCAACGTGATGTACACATTTTGTCACCAGCTCTGTGATATAGCTCTGGGCTAAAATGTTCCGTTTCACATTCACACTTCAACTGACAGCTATTGCTGCCGGATGAGACAGTTCATATCAAATAGCAGAATGTGAGATGGCAAACTGAACTGAGGGAATTCGGATAATTACCATTCCTAGAACCTGTCCCGAAGCTGTCACCAGCGGGAAGGTGTCTCCGTCATCACTGAGTTCAGCAACCTGCATTCACAAAAAGCCAAAAGCAGGTCCATCATTGCGTGTAACCTCCACTAGAAACTTGAGAGAAAACAGTCAATCTAACTGTAAACTGGCCAGCCCTCTAATCTATATCTTAATCCTTTGTCCAAACAGTGGCTTTATAATCCCTAACACTAACAGTGTAATCAAGCCACATGTGCTGTCACACAGCTGATATTGAAAAGTGCAGGGGATTAGCAGCAGTATCTGATAACAGTGGCCAGTTTGTAAACAAAGGGATTAACAAGATAAGAGTGTACCGCTAGAAGTACTGTATTCTTTCCAAGTTTACAGGCCCTAACTCGGAAAGCTGCTAGAAGCACTTACACCTGGTGATGGTATAACAAACTAGAAATATTATATAATACCATAGTAACGTTCTACCTGCCTATGAAAAAAGGAGGAATGGATGGCTTGAGGTCAGAGATGTAGCGAGACCGATTTGATTGGGGGAACCGACAGACCCTCCCTGCTGGAAGGTGTATGTATAGACCATTATCATGTTGTGGCCATCTTGATTTTTTTCCTATTCAAATCAACGTAACCAAGAACGAGGCTGGAAGGAAAAATAGATTTTTTTTTGCACAAAATCATTTATCATTCAGTACTGTTATTGGATACAGGGGATGACTGAAATGGTGGCAGCGTGATAAAGGTCTATTGTCAGCCGGCTTTCATAAAATCAAACAGCTGTCGACACCATTTGACTATTTGAGGTGATGTTCAAAAGAGACGATCATGGACATACCACAGGACAGTGTGTGGCACTCTTGACTCTTCATTACATCATTGTTGCCGACAGACACATGCATTTGCAGACAACTTCAGAGTGGTGCAAAAAGAAGGAAACCCACTTTTGACAGGAATAACCTACTTAGTACTTTTTAACTACTACTTCAGTGTTCTGAACTTTGCTTCCTAGACAGTCATCAACATTTAATACACGTTCATTTGTACAGATGGTTTGAACTACTAGTATAATACAAAGGAAATCAGTACTCTCAATTGTCGTTAGCTACTGGTACACCATTCTTTTTGATGAGCATTGGTGACTGTTAGAAAAAAGAACCAGTGGCCACTGTACAAAATTTGACAAGAGTGCAACACAGAATTCAAAGCACTTCATGCTCGTTTCTCTCAGAATGACACCTAATCATCATATCATTTTGTTTCAACCGCACGACCCGCCTATACTTTCCATGATGTACACCTTGAAATATGAACATTAAGTTAGCATTTCTGTGCGTTCTCAAAGTTTTAGTTTGATGAGACTGCAAATTTGTTCTGACCTGACCTGACAGAGGGTGAGAAATCAGCGTAAATAAACCATAACTATCGATACGACCCAACGAGGCAGACCATTAATTACAGCATCTCAATTATTCACCAGTGATGTAGTGCCTTGATGCTGGGCCTTGGCCTTAAGGCTGCCTTAAGGCTGGATTTTAGGGCCTTGGACTTGGCCTCGAGGCTTGAGGGCAAAAGCCTTGGCCTTGGCCTTGGCCTTGAGGGTTCAGGGCCTTGCAATTTTGAGTCAAGGCTCTTCAAGGCCCATAGATTTTTGCATTTTCCAGATAAATCTGTTTGAAATTTTGCTGTTACCATTTTAATCGTATTACCATGGAGGAAGGAAGCATCCTGTAGATTTGTGTGTTGGGCACACTTCCACTTTATTGTAGCATCACATTTTGTTACCATTGTAGTAGATTTGCTGCAAAAATATTCTGTACACTTGTGGGGCTAATGAGATGATCACTTTAATTGCATATAACTATGGAATAGATCTGATTGGTTGTATATGTCTCCCTGATAAGTGCTAAAGATTTGCATGTATCTGTTTTAGATAATGCTGATATTTCTGACCATGTTGGGCCAGCAAATAAAGATTTCCCAAATCAGTTTCTTGGATCTCCCATTTGTTACACTTGGGAGAATTGTGTGTCAATATAGAAGTAAATCATAATTTTGTTTAGTTAAACCATATTGAAGACCTGAATTTATACTTTAATAGATACAGTGCAGTCATAAAACGGTGTAGGCCTATGCGAGCATGTTGATTGCAATTAAAGAAATGTTGTTCTTCGTAACAAGCAATTCGTGATGATAAGGGCGGATCCAGGGGGGCCAAAAGGGGCCATGCCCCCCCCCCCACAAAAAAAAACCGAAACCATTTTTTTTTTATATGATGTCGTAATAAAGGCAGGCAATGAGTACACCACCATCTTTTCCTAAAAAAACATTGGTTAAAATGGTCAGAAATTGCCTCAAATCGCACCACAGAGCATCTCGAATCCAACAATTTTTCGGGGCCCTTAAGCGGGCCCCGAAGCCCAAGCCGTAATTTTTTGACCCACTTTTTTGGGGGGGGACCAAAATTTCTTTGCCCCCCCCCCCCAAATTGTGTTCTGGATCCGCCCTTACGTGATGATGTGTCACTCATGTGACTATAATTAGTTCTATATCAGTGGTCATTTCATAAAACAGGGCCTTGGCCTTGGCCTTGAGGGTTAAGCCTTGGCCTTGGCCTCGAGGCTTGAGGGTCAAAGCCTTAGCCTTGGCCTTGGCCTTGAGGGTCAAAGACTTGGCCTTGGCCTTGGCCTTGAGGGTCAAAGCCTTTGCTCCAACACTGTTATTCACAATGTGGTGCCTGGCCAATATGTTGTTCTTAATGCATTAATATACCAGTACCAGATTAAACAATAAATCATAGGTAGACAATATGGGAAAATTGTCCAGACTTTTTTTCACCTTTAAGACAATTCTGCCTTGAGTTGGTATGGCTCATCAAGGCTGCTATTTCTATCCAGTTTCCTTGGCATGCAATGTCTTGAGAACATTTCTTTTTCCTGGAATGGAATGTCGATATCATAAAGCTGCTCACCAGGTAATGCCATTGCCCATCTACAGTGTCCCCTGAGTGGGGGATAAGGTACTGAGAACTCCATGAAAATACATGTAAAGTACAATTCTTTTGACAGGTAGGCCTACAGTATGCCATTTATGTTGCATATAAAAAGGGAAGTGCTCTAGCAAGTATATCCCACAAGCAAACTGGCATTTCCAATCCCTATCAAAGAGTAAGGACCCCTTTGTAGTATCAAGGGTCCAATGCCCAAGAAAAGGCTAGGGTGGGCGATGCCGGGGGACCCCTTAAAAAAAAAGGATGATAGTTTGACAAATGGGGATCTAGTAAGATATATTGATGGTTTTTAAAATTATCCAAAACAATATTTCACAAGCAAGCAATACGATCATAAATACATTTCCACAATCCCCATTTATAATAATAGTGGTATCGTATCTTATGAAGTGCAACAGCTCCATCACTCAGTGACACTCATGGTGCCATTTAAGAGACTGCTCCCGCAAAACCCCGTTGACAAAAGTTCCTTGTTTTTAGGTTTCGGCATTTTCAAATTTCCTAGGTTTTCAGCTTCAAAATGATATATAATTTCAAAGGAACTGAGAAAGAATTATGTGATAAAACCCTAACAACCCAATTTTATGAGATAAACACACGTATTGAAATGCCTTCTGTAGACATTTCTACATATTGTTTTGCTAAATTGATCACAATAAAACACACTTCTGCTTGATGGATTATTTTGAAAGGTTGTAGATTTACTGATTCAGAAAAGCTCAAACTTCAAACTGCTCAGCTCCACCCCAATATGACTTCACATTCCCTTTGTGCGAAAAGAAGAACTACACACTTTGTCCGGGTTTCGTGAGAGCAGGTCTCACACTGCAAAACAGGTCGCGTAGCTTCTACATTGGACAATATATTTACAAACAGATGATGATACAGTTTCGGTATCAGAAATACGTATTTCATGACCTGTATTAAGTCAAATCTTTCATCAACCTACGCCTCCCACTGATGTCGTTTGGATCCTCAAATGAAATTCTTAGATGGACAAGGAGATACCGGTAATATCAGCAAACACACAAAAAGCCAGACTTCCGTGCCTTGGGGATAATTAGATTACTCTGAAATTGACGGAATGATTGATTTTATTCAAACTGGGCCACCAACAGAAGTCATCTGCAGATTAGTCTAGATTGAAGGCTGCAATTTCATCACTGACCTTTGTTGCCATTGGCAGAGGGAGCCACCGATGACAAGTCAGGTTTAAATTCAACCCAGTTCCTTTGTAAATTGTGTGTGTCTCACTATACTAAGAATTGATGAGAAAATATGATTTGAAAACTTTTTCTTTTCTTCGATGGGAGTGAAAATATTGTATTCACAACACACCTCGAATTCCCATTGCGAAGTACCGGGTTGCGCCGAGGGAGATGTGATCAGAGTTGTCGAGGAAGCCAAGCCCCAAGAACCAGAATTTCCGACGCCAATGGCACGCCATTCTTGGTTGTAAGTATTAAGCTCTCAGTACTTGTGCTGTGAATTGTGGCCCCGGTGGATTGAGAAACAGACAGGGCTTGAATTCAGGCTTGTCATAGGTCTCTACACTATGGACACAAGATGACAAGGATGTTTTGAAACATGAGTTCATGAAGTCATGAATGCGGATGCACGCCCGGCGAGGGAGTAATGTCTCACACACTACACAAATAAAACACAGTAAAAACAACGCAGCAATTCTGCTTTCAATCGCTTGTCAGGTAAATGACAAGGGAAAGTGTGCTGAACTAATAACTTCACTGTCCCTTGTCATTTCCTGTGTTTGTGCATGACTGGAAATCTGGAACTATTGTGGGATACCTGTTCGCGCATTGATACACAAGTAAGCGATGACGTCATTCCAGGTGAGCATGATAAATCACCTCTCCACGATGGCATTAACTTCCATTTTGCGCCACTGCGCTCATCTGACTCCCCCGTGCCACATGCATCCATCAAACTGATATGTTGACTTCGAACTAAAATCTGCCGCATGAACAAATCCAATACAAACATTGTGCTTGCAAATCTCAACTTAAATTTCCCCATAGATGGAAGCTTGTTTCTGTTATTATAC